TTAAGGAAGGAAAGGTTTATTTAGCTCACAGCCTGTGGAGGTGTCTTGGTTACTTTTCTCTAGTCTCTAGTTGAGACAAAATACCTGACACCCAGTATTAAGGAAGGAAAGGTTTATTTAGCTCACAGCCTGTGGAGGTTTCAGTCCATTCTTGGCTGGCTCCAAGGCAGGATGGCACATGGCAGAGGGCAACCAATCATGGTGGCAGAACATAGCAAAAGCAGCATGTGCAAAAGAGAGAAGCGGCAGCAGGCAACCTCTTTCTCTCCCTTACATATGCAAACTATCCACCCCAAGGCGGGTGTAGCACTCACATCCATAATCCCAGCATTGGACTATGGATCAATCAAAAGTCTAGAATAGAAGCCCACCCCATGACTGCATGAAGCTTTGGGGAGACATGCAGACACAAACCATAACACTTGGCAGGTTGATGTCAGGTGAAACCCCTCTGCCTAACAACTTGTTCGTCTGGCTTGCCTCGGGCACCCCACGTTCTCGGGGCTGATCTTGCTCTAGTCCCACACACATGATCCATCTTTAGCTTCAACCACTCCCCATACTTTCTGGATGATTTTCCTGTTCATATTCCTGTTTAAACTTCCAATCCCATCCTCAAAGGTGGCTCATTTAGTTTGGGATAAAATTGACCTTCTGAGTACAGTGTGTCTTTGTCAATCTGTTCAATCCTTCCTCTTACATCTCATCTTGTCTCTAGACCCCAAACCTCCCCTGGGCTCTGGCCAAGCCTCCTCAGGGAGCTGCAGGTGGTGTTGGGATCACCTGGACACCTTCCCTGGAAGCCTCTCTCTGCCAGTGTCAGGGGAGGGGGCAGGGAGAGGGGCTCCCTGTGCAGTGTTTCAAGTAGGACCAAAGTCCCAGCTCTTTACCTCTCTAAGCCTTGGTTTTCTCACCATGAAATGGGAGGTCAAGGGGTGATTGAGAGAGGATGTTAAGAGGACTGAGGAAGACCAGACTGGTAAGGCCTCTGCCTGGAGCCTAGAAGTGTGACTGAACTCCTGCCTGTGACATGTCAGCTTCCTGAGAGTTCTCTTTGAAACAGCTGAGGCTCCAGGTAGTAGCTATGACACCCATAGGGGCTGGGTCCCACCATAGCTACATTCACTGGCCCCTACTTCCTCTGCCAAAAGACATTCCAAGTGTCAGCGCGCATAGTCATGGAAAGTGAGTGATATCCACAGCTTTCAAACTACAAAAGTTCTATCATTCCTGTGAGACCAAGCTGATTGCTTAAGCTACTGGGCATGAACTAGATGGTCCCTGAGCTGCAAGCCCAGGGTCACACCTTGCTGGCTGTGAACCGGGCAACTCAGTTCATGTCTCTGTGCCTTAGAGCCTCTTTTATAAAATGGAGTGTCTACCTCCTATCCCACCTTGTACAGAGATGTGTGTAAGGACCCAAGAAAAGAGCAGTGCCTGGCTCGTAGTAAGCACCCCATAAATGGTAGCTACAGTGCTCATTCGGACTTTGGCCCTGGGTCATTCAAGAGCAGCCAGTGAATGTTTGTGGATGATGCCCTGAGGAAGCCCAGAGGTTTTGCTGTGTTTAATGAGCACCTCAGAGGTATGCACCCTCCCTCTCCTACCTTTTGCCTTTGCCCATGCTGCTCCCTGGCCTGGCCAGCTCGAATCTTTCTCCTGTTCTGGTTCAGCTCAAGCACCTTTTCTGTGGAGCCTCCCCGCTCTCAGAACCCCTCTCTGACACCCCCGCAGTGGCTTCCACCTCTATACTAGTGGGCTGGGAAAGTGCAGGCAAGGACTGTATCATTTCATCTGTGAGCTCTCCACATCCCTCAAGTTGCCTGGCCAGAGTGGGCTGGAGAGCACTTGGAAATGTTGGCATTTACACGCATGCATTAAAGATTTGGGGGAATAAGTTGTGCAGGGACAGGGCTCCCCCTTCAAAGCTAACCACTTGGGAGCCATGCACAATGGCCCTCCACCTAGCTCTGGGACTCCTCCTGGGAGAAGCGATGTGGGCGGGGCGTACCTTTGTAGAGTGGTGTCTCCCGGGACTTGTTGGAGATGTCAGGCTCTGCCCCAGCCTGGAGCAGCGAGAGGAGGCAGTCCAAGTTCTCCCTGCATGTCGCCAGGTATAGAGCTGTCTCCTCCTGCAGGGTGCGCTGGTCGATGGTCCCTGGGTAAGCTAAAGGGACACACCAGGAAATGCATGAAGAAGCAAGGGCCCCACCTCACAGCATAGAGCAGTCCCGGTTTCTTCCCAATTCCAAGTCAGGACACGTATGGCCTCCTCTGAAGGTGGCTAACCATGGACTGCCTCCACCTTGCCCTTTCCCAGAGCTAGCTCTGCTTCTGGGTCATAGAAGTACAGCTCAGACTCCACCTCTCCTCCAGGAAGACTTCCTGACCCCCTCCCCAGCCCTTCCCTGTCCTCCTCTTGCATTCCAAGTACTACTGTGGAAACCCCACCTCTCCTGTAGCTAGTTCTTGGAATGTGCAGGACTTTGTGGGGTCTGGGCCACATCAGGACCTCGTGACACCTGATTACAGGTGTTACCCATCTGAATCCAGCTCACAGCACAGAAGGGGCTCATTGAGGCAGTGAGACTGGTCCAGGGTCCCACAGCTGGTGGGAGACAGACAGCTCTGGCAGGGCTCGGGTGCAGCTGCAGTATTTTCCACACCAAATCAGCCCCTGGAACATTCTGGAACATGCTGGCAGTGGCTGTCCCAAAAGTAAGCCCTCCTTCATTCCTTTTCTAGGAATCGGGCTCTTCTGTCCTGACAGGCCTGGAAAGATGGCAGCAGGGGGTGCAGGCTGGGGTGAGGTGGGGTCAAGTCACTTTCTGTCTCCCAGCTTGGTGACTGCAACTGTCCAGTGGTGGTGGTAACCTTGCCTGTCCCTCCCCAGGCCCTTTCCCACTGCTGGCCTCACCTTGCTGCAAGACCTTCAGGCAGCCCAGCTGGCCGTAGTAGGCAGCCTCGTGGAGCGGCAGCCAGCCCTCCTTGTTGGGCTGTCCCAGATTCTTCCCATCCTTGATCATAGCCTTCAAGGCCTCTTCATTGCCTTCCTTAATGGCCTTTAGCACGGGGTCCATGGGCCTGTGAGAATAAGAAACAGCAAAGTCTCGGGTGTAGGCAGAGGCAGGGCTAGGGGGCCTGACTCCAGAATGCAAGCAGGGTCTGCTGGTGGCCACGACCCAGGGTCACTGTGGGACCCCTCCATCCTCGTTGTCCCTTAAGCTGGTTCCAAGACCAGTGCTCAGCCCTTGCACCCCAGTGGCTGTAGGAGGAGTGGGCAGCCCTTCCACCCCTGTGGTTACCATGGCTGCAGCTAATGCCATGCCAAGACCTCATCTACCAAGAGGACACGGGCACGAACAGCAGCCTGTACGGGGATGGACACACCCCACGGGAGGGCTCGGCACTAATTAAATGCCTTCCCTGAGCACAGTACCAAGCACAGCTACCTGCAGGGCTGCCCGGGCCTCGGAGTGCTCCCTCCCATCAGCACAGTGAGCCTCTGACTTAACCCGCTCCTTGCTCCTGTCCCTCAGCCTCACTACCAGCACATCTAGCTGCTGGAAAGTGGAAACACTTAGCAGCTTAATAAATCTGAAGCCTTTAGAATTGAAAACTTATAAAATGTAAAAAAAAAAAAGTCAAGCTTAAGGTGAAGGACATCTTTGCTTGGCTCATTAAGTCACTTTGCTCACTCATCCATTCATTACTGAGTGTTCATTCATTCATTCATTCATTCCCTGAGCTTCCTTCCCTGTCACTGGAGAGACTCTCAGTACTGAGGCTGCTGTGACTTCCCAGTCCACTTCTGGGGAGGGTTTGGCATAAATAGCCCCGTGTCTCCTGCCCAGGGTCCCTCCACGCCAGGGGCTAGGATGGGCTCTGAGGGTCCCCAGGATAAGCCCGTGTACCCTATACCTTCCCAGTCACTTCCTTCGGGCTCGGCACTTCCTCTTGACTTTCAGCCTCCCGGGTTATTAATAGCATCAGGGCACAGAAGTCAGCGAAGCTGCAGACCAGCAAGGATGATGGGAAACCGACCGGGCAAGTCCTGAAGGTCCCATCAACACCATCTGCCACCCGGATGAGTGCCACTCAGGAGCAGCCCCGTTGGTCCTGGGTATGTGTCCCCTTCCTTGGGAGGTCTCAGTATGACCCCACTGATGTGGAAGGGAAGGGGCTTCCTGGTCTCATAGCCTTGCAGTGTCATGGGAAGGATCTGGGGCCCCACTGACAGCGCGGGCCTCTCCAGCTGTGGTGTGAGGAGGACCAGACCACACGCTGGTGGTTCCTCTGTGAGCTCACAATCCCCGCCCCAAGGGCGGGTAAGCTGCTGGGGGAAGTCAGGTTACCATAGACTGCAAGCCAGATGGGACCTGGGGGCCACACTGTCCTCTCCAGCCTCGTCCTACAAAGAAGGGAGACCCAGGGGGACCAATCCCTCTTAGGCAAGCAAGCAGGAAGTAGCAGTTTGTGGAGACCAGAACCTTGTCTCTTTTCCAACTAAAAAAGCCACCTGGGCACCAGGGATGAGGCAGCCACAGGGTTTGGAAGGCTGGGAAGGAGACACAGAGCAGCGGCTGGTGGCTGTCTCCTCTCTATGAGGACCACTCTGTGAGGACCGCTGCCACTCCCCGATCTACGACAGCATGGAGCCCCCTCCTGCTTTTAGCCATTCTAGGGTCACTCTGAGGGGCAGAGAGGGGAGAGAGAGACACAGCCATCTCCCAAGGATCCCACCATGCCAAGTAAACAGAACCCCTCCTGCGGCCAAGATTACCTCTGGGTTTTGGTACTTGACACTTAAATGAAGGCGCAAGCAAAGCCAAAGCTGTGGTTCTGGAGATCTGTGATGTGCTCAGATGGGCCCTGCAGGGGGGCGTGGGGGACTGTGAGGCAGGACAGACAGAGATGGGGCAGCTCCTCCGCTCCACCTCCCAGCTCCTCTGGGACTCTGGGGTTTTAAGGCCGTCTCCCCAGCCTCCCTCCTGCTGGATTCAAAGCCCCATGGGGCTCCTCTTGTACACAAGGTCCAGCCTGGGCCACCTAAGGGGTCAGAAGGAGACCACAGGAGCACCTGGGCCCAGGGGGACACACCTAGGAGGGCTTGCCTGGTAGGAGACTTGGCAGTGGCTCCTGCTATCCTGGGGCTTCAGCTGTCCCCACCCTCCCTGCCACAACAGCTGGGGACATGAGCCTGGTGATGTGGGGGCCGGGCGGGGGTCACTTACGCGGTCTTAAACAGGCTGCTGTTGTATTTCTGCATGACCCCCTGGAACAAACCCACGGGGGGCCGGGCCGGCGGGCTCTCGGCAGGCGCTGTGGACCTGGGGGGTGCAGAGCAGGCATGAAAGAGGGAAAAGTACTCTGCATAGGAGAAGCGAGTCATGGTTGGAGGCAGGAGCGAGGATGGAGCCGAGCTGGGAGAGAGGCTGAGTGACAGACAGACACAGGGCTCTGAACCAAAGCAGATGGCCGGGTCCTCTCTGTGTGCTGGACGCAGCTGCTGCGTCTCCGGATTATTTTTGGCCCTTGGAGGAAGCCCTGGGAGATTTAAATGACCATATAAGACAACAATGAGGTTAACCTCATGCCTACCCCCACCACCCCCTCCCCAGCCAACCACGAGGGCCTCAGATACAGAGCAAGGTGACATTCTTCGCCGAGGAGGATGTGAGAAGTGGTCAGAGGCAGGTCCCCTGGATAAAAGGGGCTCTGTCCCAGGGCTGGCCAGACACTTCCCAAGAGTACCGGAGAAGAGAGCCGTGGGCAAGTGGGGCGACAAGGGAGCCAGGCTGTAGGTGTGCGCCCCACCTCACCTCTCGGGTTCTAGGGGAGACGATCAAGCACTAAGTCTAGAGGTTACCGCAGAAGGGTGCACCAGGAAGGCCTTGGGACCAGGGCTCAGAGTCAGACAGGTGTAAGTCTAGACACTGAAGTCTAGACACTGCTTAGCTGAGTAACCTGGGACAGGTTGGCCAATCTGCCTCAGTTTCCCCACCTGCAGGTGGCCTGAGAGTAGCCCTTGTTTTGACAGCCACTGAGACCTGGACCCGTGAATGGTATGACGTGCTAGGCACAGAGTCCCTGGTTCATTTTATGATTTCACCTCTCTGAGCCTCCGCTTCCCCACCCCTTGGGGCGCTAAAGGAGATGCGGCAGCCACCACGCTGTGCCTGGGATTGTTCCGGGCTCAGTGAGGTCGGGCTGGCTGGCCCCAGCAGTCTCCTCCCAGATCAGCCTTGGCACTGCAGGTGCCCCATCAGGGCCACCTTTGCTGCCTGGAGGTCTCTGGAAAGGGGCTGTCTGTGGGTCAGGGAAGACATCACTTCTGTAACTGGCACCCTGTAGGGCATGGAGCGCTGCCCTAGTGTCCCTGAGGAGGAAACACATTCTCCCAGGACGGGTGAGAAGCTGTAGATTCCATAGCCTTTGCAAGGCCAGGCCACAGAGTGGAGGATCCAGGAGGACATCCTGAGAGTGGTGGCCTAGCCACCTTCATGCTCCCCATCCTTCCTTCTCTGCCCTCTGCTTAACCCCACCAGGCCGAGGAGGATGCCTTTGTCTTTTGAGGATCCATTAATCATTATTTCTCAACCTCAGGGAAGGATGCCAACATCCTGTCTTTACAAATGAGGAAACTGAGGCCCCAGAAGGTGGTAACTGCCCAAGGTGGTACCAGCGGGTAAGCAAGCAGAGCTGAGGTTCAGACCAGCTCCTAAACCAGCTTCTTCTTCCACACACAGGGCCTTTTCTTGCCTCTTCACCCTCCATCACCCTCCGGCCTCCAACAGGCCGTGCACTTTGAACAAGGCCTTCCCCTCTTTGTGCCTCAGTTTCCTTATCTTCCAAATGCAGAAAAAAAAATGCAGAGGCAGGACCTGACCTGAAGGCTCCTCCCTGCTCCTGTGGCTGGGGAGAAACTCAGTGCGTGAAACAGATCCAAGAACCACACCTGTGGCCCGGGAGGCCGGAGAACTGCCAGGCCCAGGGCTCCTGCACAGGCTCCTGGCCTGGAGAGGAAGGAACTGAGGCTGCCGGAGGGAAAGTGACGTGGTGGTAGTGACAGCCTTCCCCATCTTGCAAGACAAATGGCCACGAAGCCATTCCAAGCATCGTCTCCAATCCATCTTCTGTCTGTCTTTCCTGGAGTCAGGTCTGCCTTGTTCCCATCTTGCAGACGAAGGAACAGACAAGCTGAGTTCCATCCGCCAGTGAAGCTATAGCTCGTGCCCTGCCCCGGGAGCTGGGGGTGCACCTCAGGAAGTCAGGTCTTGCTGTGTCTCCTCACGGGGGACAGAGGCCGGCAGGGAAGGAGACAAGTTACACACGGTAGAGCCACAGGGAGGGGCTGGAATCCAATCCGGAAGGCTGGTCTGGATGCATGGACATCAGGTGTGAATAAAGCTAGGATCTGAACCCCCAAACCTACTTCTCTTCCCACTTGATTTGGGGTCCTGGTGGGGTGGCTGCTGACAATGCCCAGGCTGAGTCTCAGGCTGGATGAGGACCAGAGCCTCTAATAGGTTTCGTGCTCTTTTGACCCAAGGTTGGAGGCCCATTTCCCCTCTGCCACAACAGACAGGGGAATTCCCAGCAGAGCACAGCATGGGGCTGAGTCACCAGCAGTAGAAGAAGCTGGTCGGCAGGATGTGGCTACAGGTCATGCCCTGGAAGAGGCCCAGGTAGGGCCCTGTCTTCCTTTCTGAAACCGAGCGAGCTCATCCCTCAGCTCTCCCCCTGGGCCACTGTGTACCTCTGGGTCTTCCCCGTCTTTAGACTTCAGCTTAGGAGGGCACAACCAAGTTCCTGAAGGCACCCGGCCTCTCACAGAAGCAGGTGAACCTGGGCTTCTTAATCCAAGTTGTTGGCCGTGTGCACACACCAGCCCCAGCAAGTTCCTGCTTCAGGTTTTCCTTCTTTGTCTTCGTTCCTTCTTAGAAATGTAACCTTGATGAAAATACAGAAGTGTAAAGACAGCGCAGACCCAGCCTCCTGGTCCATCCTGGTGACCTGTGCTCCTGCTGCATGGACGCATGGACTCTGTGTCCGGTGGGAGCCCTTGGTGAGCCAAGACCAGGGAAATGATCCTCATGCATGTGTCACACTTTGTCCTTTTACATGATGGTAGGGGGGAAGCAAATAGAAAAGTGGCTTTAAAAAGAACATGACATTTTCTTTTGGGATACTGAGCTGGCTTTCTGTTCTATGGTTCCAAAGACTCATTTGCTTGCCATTTTGGTCATAAGACAATAATGATAAATTACATTCCTAGAGCACGGGTTGGCTTCAGAGTGCAGGCTTTTGTCTAAAAGCATTCATTGGACACGTGCATTGATGCAGGCTTTTTGGTGGGCAATGAGGGTGCAAAAGTGAACAGTGCCTGCTCCCTGTCCCCAAGATCACAGCTGGGGACACTCTGAGAAGGACTTTGCAAGGTGACATAGAAGCTGGCTTATGAAGCAAAAGCAGTCCCGAGGTTGATGCCCCAGGTAGGCAGGCAGGGACTGAGGAAGGTCAAGTCAAGCTCAGGGTGTGGATGGGGAAGGTTCCAACGCTTGCCTGACTGGGTTTGCTTCCCATAAAAATACTGTGCAGTAGCTCTGGGGTGTGGCTCAGCGGGACAGCACTTGTGTAGTGTGCATGAGGCCCTGGGTTCCAACTCCAGCACTTAAAAAAATCCTGCAAGGTGAGGAGAGTGAGCTTTGGCTATTACCATTTTAGGGATAAGATCTTTGGGGCTCAGAAAGGGAAAGGAAATTGCCTGAGGTGTCACCGCCAGTACGTGACAGAGGAAAGCTCTGAGCCCCAAAACCTACTTCTCTTTCTCCTGCTTCCTTATTCAGTCCTTTCTTCACCCACCCAAGCGGGTGTTCATGGACAGCTATTTGGTATTTGCCGTGGGGTACACCTGGAGCTTCACAGAGAAGGACATGAGGGCCCTGGCCTCGAGGGGTTGACAGGTTAACGGTGGAGCCAGACACGTGAGAAATGTAAGTCACGTCCTTGCTCTGGATGTATTGGGTGGTAACTGCTATTCAAGGATAACAATGAGCAGGGTTCTCTGTGTTCTGTACCCTCTGCAGTGCCAGGTCTGGCAGTGTGAACACAGGTGTCTGTGTGTGTGTCGTGTGTCTTCAGGACCCTGCACCTTGGTGGGTGGGAAGCAGATGTCACGAGGCCAAACCCTCCTCCGGGCCTGTGCAGAACTGGCCAAGCCTGGTCAAGCACGTGAACTTCTGAGCCCAGCTGACTTTGGTTCAGTTCCTGGCCCTGCGGTGTGCTTGTTTTCTCATCCTGTTACGTGAGCACAGCAACACGCACCGTGCATGGCTTTTGCAAGCGTTAAATGCATTGACCTCTGCCTGGTACATGGGAGGAGCTCAGTGTGCAGCTAGGAGGAGATTGCATTAAGCTTTATATTAAGAACTGTCTCTCCCCCAGCAGGGCCTAAACTGAACATCCCCCCAGACACAAAGGGGTAGAACTGAGCCCAGGCACTCTCAGACCCAGCAAGAGAGAGAAGATGCGATTGGCCCTCCACTGCATGGCTTAATAGACTATGAGGGCTGCCTGACCTGGGTGAAGGAGTTTCATTTCCCTGTGGGACTTTTTTCCCAGGAGGCGGGACAACTGTGAATGGCTCAGGCAGGTCTGTACTTCCTCATCCATCTGTGGAGGAGGGGTCTGGGCTGGAGCTCACGGATCCCCTCATTCTAATGTTTCTGAGCGTCCTCAGGACTCCCAGGAAGAGCTCCTGCACTGGGGAGAGGGCTGCAGGAGCCCAGGGGGACATGCGGCTTCGTGCATCAGGCCCCATCTCTGGAGGGAGGCTGCCAGATCTCTATCAGGTCCCCTCCTGAGAAAGGGGAACCTGTGGTCTGACTTCAGCTGAACCTGAGCCAGAACAGGAACCAAGGCCTCCTTGAACCTGGCCACGTCCTGCCTGTGAGTTTCTGCTTCTCCCATTGGGTCCCAGAAGCGGTGACCTCAGAGATAGCTCAGGAACCCGGCAATCTCATACTCTTCCAGCTGCCCAAGGAGCCGTCACCTTCGCCTCTGGAAGGGGACCCTCAGCACTGGGCATCCGGGCCTTGGCCCAACCAGACTAACAGCCACACTGTCACCCACCTTAGCCTCTGGCAACTGTGACTGGGTTGGGAAGAGCAGACAAGGAAGCAGAGGTTCTGAGAGCTTACGTGACTTCTGAAGGTCACACAGGAACACCACTGACTGCTGCAGAGGGTGAGACTTGAGACCCACACTTGCCAGTGACACTGATAGGACTGTTACCCCAATTTCTCCCCCACCTCCAAGCATATGTCTGATCTTGGCTCAGCAGGAAGCAAAAGCATTTTTAGGGTTTATACATCTTTTTGAAAAGCGTTTGAAGGTCAATTGCTTGATACCTCTCTGGCTCCCACCTTCTACACAGAACATGGTGTCCCCTAGATCCAACATGGTGTCCCCTGGCCACATGAGACTAGGGAGCACTCGAAATGTGGCTGGCTGGAATTGGGATATGCTACAAGTATAAAATATACACTGTTATCCCAAAGGTACAACAGACACTGTGAAAAGGAAAGAAACTGCTCAAAAAGGAAAGTATAACTGGAATGGGGGAAAGGGAAGAAGAAGGAACATATATATATACACACACACACCACACAAGATAGCTAAAATAATTGTACTACTACCTTCCATTAGTTCATTGAAAGGTACCATTAATGCTTATATTGTTTGATCAATTTTGCATGCCTGCATCTGGTAATCGGAGCAACTATTTTGAAGATAACAATATGCAATATAACCATTGTTAATTTCCTATCATCTTGTTTTCAAATTCTGTATCATTTT